AACCCCCACCTCACTACCACCTCCTTTGTTGCTGAGCCGGCTTTTTTCCTGGCTGAACAATCCCACGTCCCACTGCTGATCCTCATGAGACGTGTTCCCCAAAACACATTTCCCCATGGTTGCTTCAGGTATATTTGCCTTACATAGGTCTGATCTTAGGCCCTATGTTGGTCTTTTACTATTTTTTTTTTCTTTTTAGAATTTTTAAAAGTTTTTTTAGGTTTTTTCTTTTGCTTTTTTCTTTTTATTTTTAATTTTGTCTTATTTTTAAATTTCTTAGTTCTTTTTTTGAGATTGTTTAACTATTTTTCTAGAGTTGAGATTTTTTGAAGGTTTTATTGGTATTTTTAGATATTTTAGAGAAACATTTTTGTTTAAAGATTTTTAAAGGCTTTTTAGATTTTTTTTTAGCTTTTTTAGACTTTTTAAAAGACGCTTTTAAAAAAGGATTTTTAGGGCTTTTAATTTTTTTTTTAAAAAGTTTTACATTGTTTAATACATGCTATATGTAATTTGGTCTTATATTCGTTTGATATAATAGTGTTAATACCCCTTAATTTCCTGTCCTCAGAGTCAGATGTCTTTGAAATCGTGCTCCCAATCACCGTCTTATTGCTGAGCGATGATGATTTCCTCCAAGATGAGGCCGAGGAGCAAGGGGCATTGGTCCCCAGGCAGGAGGAGGAGGATGCACAGGAGGTGGACTTAAACATCAGCAATTCCCCAAAAAGCGACGTGACAGCTCCAAGTGACAGTGACATTTTAAGCGTTGGGGAAGAAAACAAGACTGCTTCCAATAATGACAATGTTCAGGAGTACTCTGAAGGAAAAGGTGTTGCTGAGAGTGTGTGTGAGAGCACAGAGTCATCTTTAAACGATCAGTGTGATGTAGACAAGGATCAGTGTAGTCAAAATGATGTGTTGCCTACATTGTCTTGCCAAACAGAGCTGACAGTGATAAATGAAACCACTGACAGCAAAGCATGTGATGGTGATGGCAGCCTCCAGCAGATTCCTCCTTTCCTCTCTTCTGCTGGCAGTGAGGGTGGAGATGAGACTCTAGAGACAAGCCCACAGTTGACATTGGCAGCAATAGCCAGAAATGAAGAGGAACCTGTCAGTGTTCCAAGCGTTCTTTCTGATGGCAGTCAAGAGAAACAACCAGCAACCCACGAGGAGATGGAGACCATTGCTGAAATGGAAGGTGACTTGTTAATAAAAGTAGTGCAAGAGTTTAAGAAATCTAATAAATCGCCATGGTTTAGCGGTGACTTGGTAGTGCTGGGTTAATGGTTGGCCTTGATGACCTTAAAGATCTCTTCCAACCAGGATGATTCTGTGATTCCTTAAGCAGAGACTGGGAGAGGCATAATTTAGGGTTAAAATCCACCATTCCTTAAAGCAGATGGAAGTCCTTCAGGAAGAAAGGTGTGAAGAATTACTAAGGGTAGTTTCCCTTCTAAGAAGCAGAGGACATCATACTTTTGAGAATGGAGCCCTAGCAATGTTCAGTGACAGTTCTTTCATGTGAATTCTGGCATAAAATGGTTTCATTAAAAACTGTGGAGGATGCAGTGTTGTCCTGTGAAACTCAGAGCTTTGAGTGCAATGAGGAAGTGGAAAGGAGGCTCCTAACTAGTTGGTTTTTTTTTTCTCTTAAAACTTTTAAATTTTGAAGGGGGTGGGGTGGGAATGGGGAGATTGATTGGAAAGAAGTGGATGTGGGAAATATTAAAGAAGCAAAAAGAGGGAAGAGCAAGCAAGTCATTAAGATAGTTTGGGATGATTGCTACCAATTAATCATGAACATGGGTGATTGTATGAAATGTCATGCATGTGACTTCTTATCCCCCTGTAGATGCTGATTCTTCAAAGAACAGAGATCACAAAGCTAATAACAGGAAAAGAAAGAAAAGAAAATTTGAAGATGAAGCTCTGAATTTTCATCTGGAACACGGCTTGAAAAAAGAAGAAGAATCTACCTATAGTTGTTCTGCTCCTCTTCTAAATGGATGTTCTACTTCAGAAGAACTGCTGAAAGATGCAGGGGAACCAGAGATGAAAAAAAATGATGCTGCTGGAGAGCACATTTATAAGACATTAACACCATTTCCTAAAAAAAGGTATCGGCAACAAAGAGTTGGTTCTCCTCATGCAAACCCCAAAGAATTCCAAAGCCAGCAAGAGGGTTTAGCCTGGCTGAGTAATAGTGTGACCATCAAACCTCTTTCTAAAGCATCTTGCTCCATAAACAGGCATGACAGACTGAAGTGCAGGTTTTGTAGTTCTGTGTATAGATGCAGCACGCAACTAAAGAAACATGTTTACTCAGCTCATAAAGATAAGAAGATGCATAAATGCTGCTTTTGTAAAAGAGCCTTTTTCTTTCCTGTCAACCTTAAGAATCACCTGAAATTTCATAAGAAAATGACTAGGTTGCAAAAGGCAAGAAAAAATAGAATAAATGCCAGGAAAGTCAGGCAGAGATCTGAAGAAAGGAAATCTGAGAGCAAGAAAAAAGAAAGTAAATATGAGAAACTTTTCATCAAAATTGAAAGGGACTTTACACCTCTGGATGTGCCAGTTATTTTTTCCTGCAAGAGTTGTTTCTTTTCTTCATCAAGTCCCAGGAGTTTTATCCATCACATGAAGGAACATAAAGCAAGACCACCTTACCAGTGTCCTCACTGTGATTACTCCTGCATCAGCTCATCCTACCTGTTAAACCACATGTACTGGCACGCTGGGTATAAGCTGTACCAGTGCAGGTTTTGCACCTTTTTTTCGTTGTATTTTGCAAGCATGGTAAGGCACAGCTACATCCACACAGGGACTAAACCCTATTCCTGTGAGTTCTGCCAGTCAGCCTTCACCAGCAGCACTGCCTTGAAGAGGCACAGGAGATTACATGTGGGTGAAGAAACACTCCAGAGACAGCAACTAGACTTTGTAAGTGGGAAAAAGAGGGCTCGAAGACCTGTAAAGAATTATACATGTGATGAGTGTAACATAGTGTTTTACAGCAGAGGACATCTCAATTTTCACCAGAAATTTCATGAGCAGTTTAAGGCTACTGCTAATGGTTATACAAATCAGAGTGATGAATGTCATGAAAGTACCATAGGCAAAGTTGCCAGTAATGCCCAGGACCATGCTTCTTTGTCTCTTTCTGGTAAAGAAAACGGTTGTCTCAGTGGGGGAATGCTGACTTCAGAAGTGGACTTTGCGTGGGCAGATGATGTGGGGGACAAAAAGGAAATATGCTTTGGAGAGAAATCCCCTGAAAATGGCCATGGAAGCAACAGCTCACCTGTTAGTGGGAATAGATCAGAAGTTCTTCTGAATTCATACAAAATGGACACTGTCATTTACAAAGAGGAACCTCTCTTCAACTCCAAGGCCTCTCATTCACAAGTTCAAGATGATGATGTGTATCACAGGTTCGTGGAAAACTTCCAGAGTGAGTGGCCTTCTAATTTGTCTGTATCCAAAACGTACAACTGCCAGCACTGCAGTTATGCTACTGCTGTTCACAGCGACTTCAAGCTTCACTTAAGTATACATACAGATGAAAGACCATTTGTGTGTAAAGAATGCAATAAGACATTCAAAACATCAAACCATTTGCAGAAGCACAGCCTCATACACGTAAAGAGTGGATATGAGTTTGGCCATTGTCTCTACGTAGGTAGCCATTTAGAGAATCTTGAACTGCACCGTGAAATGCACGTAAGCATGTGTCCAAAAAGAGATCTGGGTTTCTCAGAAAGTTCTAACAGTTTCCATTCCTTGTTTGGTTCAGAAGTCTGTGGAGTACAACCGGGTGTCCAGAGGGGTGGAGAAGATGATTTGCTAGCCCGAAGCCAGCCACAGTTCTACCAGTGTGCAGAGTGTGAGTATGCTACTTACGTTTTAAGCAACCTTGAACTGCATGTGAGAACTCACACGGGTGAGAAACCTTACAGCTGCAGCGTTTGTCAGAAGAAGTTTCGTACTTCCAGTCACCTGAGAAGGCACCAGGTCACCCATTTTAACACAGAGCACCTCAAGTGCAGGAGCTGCGACTACTCCACCAACAAATGGCTCTCCTTGAAACAGCACCTGGCCTCGCACTCCTGCGGGGGCACCTCATCCACTGCTGCTTTCTACGAGCAGCATCCCCTGCCCGTCAGAACGTACACGTGTGAGGAGTGTGGCTACTGCACGGCCCACAACGGGAACCTGAAGCCCCACCTGAGGACCCACACTGGGGAGAGGCCCTTCGCCTGCGGGCAGTGCGGCGCCGCCTTCCGCACCTCCAGCCACCTCAACCGGCACCTCCTCACCCACCTGCGGCTGCGCTGCAGGAGGTGCAAGTTCTCCACCTTGGACAAGCAGGCTTTCCACAAGCACGTGAAAACACACACGAAAGCATACCACTGTCAGAGGTGTGCTGTGACGCTGCCCACCAGAAAACTTGCGGAAAAGCATAAGCAGCAGCATGGGCTCGGAGTATAAGCCTGAGGATTCCAAGTTGTTCTGCAGATCTGGAGAGGTCTGCGTGTTGTCCCTGGTCTGTGAGTTGTCCCTTTGTTCTGGAGAGGTTTGCATATCCTCAGTTTGTTCACTGCTTTACATTCCCCTGCTGCTGTCCCCAGAACGATGGTCGGTAATGGATGCATCTGGTGTTTTGGTCCAGAGAGTGAAATTTGGGGGTACTGGCTTGCTTCAGATTCTTCTGAGAGTTTCACTTCTAGGCTGTGCTAAAGCAGATCTCGGAGGCACTGCTTCATGCAAGTAACTTCTTAATACTGTGAGGTCAGTTATGATTTGGCCAATGCTTTTCATTTTAATAGGTTATTCTGTGCCGCTTACTCTCTTAAAAAAGCTTAATTAAAAAAAATCTCTTGTCTAACTGAAAGAATGTTTAAAGGGAGGGAAGTGCATGTATATTGTATAATAACATTTCATTTAAAAATTGCCAGCGTGTTTGGAGGCTTAAGGCTACCTCTCATCTGCTGAAAGTTGCATTCCTGACTCCCTAAGTTATTTTGCAATACTTACAAAAGGAAAAAAAAATAGTATCTTACAGAATTACAGAAAAAAAAGGTTTATCAAATTAATGGGTAATTGGGATATGAAAATGTTTTGTGTATGTATATATAAAAGATTTATTAGGCAGTTCTCTTGTCTGTACTTTTGATAATTCTTTGTACTCTGACAGAAATAGTAAGGTTTTCCTTAATCAGGTGTTTTATGACACTGAGGACCCTTAGATTAATCTTCTATTTTATGTAAATGTCTAATGTTAATCTAGTATGAAATGCATTCTTTTCTCAGGCTGGTAGTTACTATGGTCTATGTTTCTCAAAATAGAAAATACCGTATTTTTCAAAGAACTTCTGCTGATTTAACCACTTGCTTATACAGTGCAAATCCTATTTAGTTACACTGAAAACTTTTGCAGTAGCTTGAACTATGAAATTTATTTTGTTGAAGAGGTTTATTGTGCATCTGAAACACAACATACAGGCACCATTTGTGCCAGACAGCCGTTGGGTGTTGTTACCTGGTATGGTGAAGACAGGTGGATGCTTCTTCAGCTTCTGGTCAAATCTACACAAATCTTTGTGTCACAGAGAAACTCTGTGAGGACATCTCTGACTGTCACATGCTCAGTGGTATCGATAAAGGAGGAAAGACAATGTCAAAGGGCTGGTTATAACTGTCCCATGTTGTTACAGTTCAGTCCTTGGAACAGCAGAGTAAACCTAGAGCTTAATTTAGAGACTGTAAATGTGAAACTAGCACTGTAGTTTTTATTGCACTCAGATGTATTTCTTTACAGATAATATCTTGCAGATGTTTTGTAGGTGATGTAGGAGACAGGTTGGAAATGCTTCCCCAGAGAGGTGGTGGAGTCTTCCTCGTTGGAGGTAGTCAAAAGCCATGGGGACATGGTCCTGGAGAGACAGCCCTGAGTGGCCCTGCTTGGGTGGGGAGTTGGACCAGATGAAGTTTTCTCCTGACATCCTGCAGGCATTCCGTGATTTCAACGCTCTTTTCCAGGAATGGTTTTAAACTCATGATTAGATGCATTTAAGGTCAGATCAGCAAAGGCACTTAAGTGATTTAGTTCTTTGTAGTTGCAGTAAAATCACACAGAACCTGTGACTCTGTACCCAGCTGGTTACAGATGATTTTCCTACTAGCTGGGAAGTTCCCATTTGGGAATGAGTGATTCAGATGTTGAAACAATTGAGCTAACCACCAGATCCATCTGCCAGGAAGAAGGATGTTATCCTGATGTGAGTAAACAAAAGTATTTCTGGGAAGTATTAACACTGCTAAAGAAGCATGGAGGAGTGTTTACCTGCACTACTGTACAATTCTGATCATTTATTTGAAGAAAAATTGAAAAGAACAGGCACAAAGAGGAGACAAAAATGAAGAGAATTCCAAGCCTGTGTATCACATGAGGTGAGGACAGTGAAACCTGAGAGTGAATAATTGTTTGAATGTATGGTGTACAAAGATGAAGAAAGGAGCCCGTTTTAATGAGGATAGATGCATTGAATGACATTTTAAAAAGAGTTTATAAACAGAAGTGTATTTTAGTTGTAAAAACAAACCATGAAAAAACCCTTTTCAGGTGGAGCTTGGTAAGTTTGTAAGAATAGTTATTCCAGGTGGTTGCATCTAATAAAAACAAAGTGTTTCATGATTTATAAGGCTCCCTTTGTGTTCCTTAAACAATGCACTGCACTTTTGGGGACTGGAAGTGATTCAGAGTCAAGTCAGAGATATTTAAATGTAAAAGTATATTCCTTTAAAAAAAAAGATGGGCTGGTTTTTGTTTTGGGTTGTGATTTTGTTTTTTTGTTTTTTTTTTTTTCTCCTAGCTAAAAGTGTAATGTTTTTATTCTTGCAGAGTTTTAACAAAAATCAAAGCTTTTCCTAAGTCATATTTGAAATGGAAAATTTCATATCTAAAAATTTGCTTAATATCCTTTATGAACCTATCTTGAAGTTGAACAAAACAGTAAAATACACGAAACAACACTAATGACAAAACTCGAGCAAGTTTTATCATTTTATCTCCTATGCACCTATGAAATAAGTGAATAAAAGTTAAAAAAAGGGTGAAATACATAAACATAGGTGAGCCAGGCGATGCAGCAGGATGGTTAACCACCAACAGATTTATCTAAAACAGAAGAAAAGACTTTTTTTTTTCATTTTTACTTTCTATTACTATATTATACTCCAATTTCCATTTGGCTTACAGTAAATGTACCTTTTTCCTCAAAAAACTGTAAGCTTACCATTGGCAAAAATCAGATTCCACCAATGGGGCCTTTATGGTGTGTGTCAATCCAAAACCGAAACCCGATTTTGCTCAGCTGCCCTCTTTCTTCGGGTGGGGCTGGGGGTTGGCCGAATTTAATGACTTTGATTCAGCCTCATTCA